TCCCACAGAGTGGTCGGTAAGTGTGAACCACATTTTTGGTCAGCTGTCCAGAATTTAACTACTGTGCCATCAAGTCTGCTTGGAAGGTAATTAGGTCTCTGCAGCCTTAACTTTGTGAGTGCCCTTTGTGCTGACTTTACTTCTTTGTTGTTGATTTTAGGTGTCCCCGAGTTAACTTCAACCCATGAGGGTTCTATGGAAAACAGTTGTGAACCTCGCTTTACGACACATCACTGTGGGAATCTCCTTCATGCAAAGCCCCTATTACAGTCACTGACAGTTCATCTTGTTTGATCAAACAAGAAAGAGGGCTCTTTCTTTCCTTCTGTGACCTTCCACCTTGCAGAGCATACTGTCTTTTTCCAAGGCCTTGCCTGTCTTGACAACTCACCCTAAATATATAAGATGACGTTTCACCACGCAGGCCTCCCAGGAGCACTCTGCTTGCACTTGCTCCAAGACAGACTTGTTTGTTCTTTTGGCAGTCCATGGGATATTCATCTTCTGCAATACCACAACTCAAAGACATCAATTCTTCTTTGGTCTTCCTTACTTGCTGACCAGCTTTCACATGCATAGGAAACAACTGGAAATATGGTGACTTGGGTCTCTTTACAATGCAATCCTTTCTTTTTAGCACTTTCTAGAGGTCCTTGATAGCAGACTTCTCCAGTGAAATAAGTTTTTTGATTTCTTGACCACTGTGACTATAGATGTTGATTGTAGATTCAAGTAAAAGAAAAAAAAAAACCCCAAAACAAAAAACCATGTGGATTTCTTTCTTTAGCCTGTCTTTCATTGTTTTTGTTCAGACATTCCCCTAGGTCGTATAGCCCTGGTGTATAAGTTGCCATCCTGCAGTCACTTTTGGTTGCTGTGAGGCTGAACACTGTGACACGAATGTGTCAAATGCGTTAATGGTTGGCTACCCAACGTGGACAGAGAGTGGGGTGGAGCTCCACGATTGAACAAGCATGAAAGGAGGAGTGGCGTCCACTTCCATAATAGCTTGCCTCCGGAAACCCTATGAACCTGGAGAGAGGATGAAAGGCACCCAAGCGTCGAGGACTCTCCTTCATAGGGTCGCTATGAGTCGCCCACACCTCGACGGCACTTAACAACAACAACAACAACAACATATAACCCTATATATTTTAGACAGAAAATTATGGAATTCAGATGTCTGTACTCTTGGCTGTGCTTACTGTGACACTTGTAAAACTACATGGCTTTCCAAGATTTTGTGTCAGCTTCTCTTTCTAAACTTTTAGCTAATGATTCTTTTAATTTTTAAAATTTTATTTTATGAATTTTAATGAACATTTACCAAGATTCTTTTCATTTTAAAATACCTAGCAAAATATTCCTCTGCTGTGTTTCAGGAAGAATCCTGTATTTGATGTAGGGAAACAAACATGTTGATTTTAAAAAAAGTTCTACTGTTAATGACTTTTTAGCCTCACCTGGTATCGCAGAGAGACTATTTTGGTATGTCTGTATTCTTTTCAGGGAGCTCTACTGGCCTAGTATTTCTTATTGCGCTGCTGTCCAATCCCAAAGGCACACAGTTCGAGTCCACCAGCTGCTCCTTCAGGAAAAAGGATGGACAATCTTGTCCTGTTTGATTTATTGCCTCTGAAAATCTGCTGGAGGGTCAGCTATGGGTTGGTTCCAACTCAACAGCACATGAAAACAATGTATGATTTTCAAGGAATAATTTTTAACAATATGTTCTGATTCTTAAAGATTTGCAAAGTTTGAGTTGTGAAGAAAGGATACTTGCTCATGGTTTTAAAAAAAAAAAATAAACTGACCCTAAACTGCTCTCTCATCAGTTGCATTTCACAGTGACCCTCGGTTGCATTAGTTGCATTTCACAGTGACCCTTGGTTGGGTTTCTGAGGTCGTAAGTGTTTACAGGAGGAGACTGCCCATTGCTCTCCCCTGGAGAAGTTGATGGATTCAAACCAATGACCTTTTCGTTAGCAGCCCAATATGTAATGTATTACATTGCTAGGGCTTCTTTTTTGTTGTTGTTGATTGCCTTCAAGTCAAGCATGAATCATAGCAACTCTATGAACAGAAGGCCTGAAGCCCCTGTACAACTATCAGAGTTCACAGAGTTTCCAGAGGCATGTTATTGAGGAAGTGGATACCCCTGGGTAACATTGAGAGCTACCTCATTCCTTGATGCATTACAGGCATGGGACTGCCTTAGCCATCTTCCCAGTGAAGCTTCGTTTTATGGATGCGAATCATCTCAGGCTCAGAGAGATGCTGGGACCAGTACAAACTGAGAGAAGAGATTGTTGACGCCTGATCCAAGGCATCACTTATAGGAGGGGAGGGAAGTTATGGCTAGGGGGGAGCATAACATTGATGAATTGTAGGAATGATTTACGGCAGATGTGCTACAGTGCAGTAAACATTCAAATGCTGAGGGAATCGAAGTCGTCTTGGAAGTGGTGATACTAAAAGGGACGCGTGAGAGAGATGGAGCTGAAGACCAATGAGCACCTGAAGGAAGATCCAGTGTAAGACAAGTTGGTGGCTCTAGATGCCATCCAGGCAACTTGCGCTCATTGTGGTCCCATGGACAGTAGACCTGACCCTTGCTGTATCCTTGTCTGTCTCACAGTCTCTGATATGCCAGAGCCTATCGTTACAGTCCATCTCTGTCACTTCATCTTGTTGGGGGATTTTTTTCTTTTTCTGTCACCAGCTTGATGTCTTTTTCTAATAGCACAACAAATTCAAGAGACGTGGAAACATCTGAGAGGCGGCTCAAAGAATGTCCAGTGTCCCTGTTGTAAAACGAGACTGACATCGGGGTAGATGGGAGACTAGAGAAAGATGAGAGAAATTCTGTATACTGCATTGAAACAGATATAAGGGAGAGAACTGTTTAAAAGGAATATGTGATTAGGTATTATTGTCATGACAGGAGTCCAGAATGAAAGCTGCATTAGTGGAGTAGACTTAGGGGGAGGGACTGTATAACAATGAAAAAATTTTTCTTTTCCTTTTCAAAGAGAAGAGCAAACTGGGGGGTGGAGGGGCGGGCAGGGAGAAAGGGGCAACAATGAATGAATGGAAATCCAAAGTCCCTGTAAACTTTCATTAAAATGAATAATGTTGTTGTTAGGTGCTGTTGAGTTGCAGACGACTCATAGCGACTCTATGAATGAAAGGCCTGAGCACTGTTTATAGTTTCCAGAAGCAAGTCGTTTCCAAAGTGGATACCACTCCTGCTTCCAAGCTTGTTTTAGATGGGAAGCTCCACCAAACACTGTCCACCATAGGTAACCATTATCGCATTTGGCACACCAGTTTCATGGTGTTCAGCATCACAGCAACTACAAGTTACTTCTGTACAGCAGTGCACTGACCAGGGCTATACCATCTTGGGCTTGGTAATAATAATATAAAAAAGAATGTCTATATAATATACATAGGACTCTATGAAAAAATTTCAGCAGCACAATTCCTGTGGATTACCCCCCACCCCTCCAGCACTCCCAAATATGTGGGAAGGGAAAGTCAGTATACAGTAAAGGGGTGAATGTTACTAGACACAATATGTATGGCTGGTTGAATGCAAAATCAATATGGTTTTTAAGCTTTTAAATCACAATTAAAAACTGTAAGTAAAAAGTAATACAGCCTCTTCCTTCCCCTTTCCTCCCCTCGTCTGAGAGGAGAAACATCCAGAAGAGCTTGAATTAGACCAAATCACGGAGTTTTGCAATGCGCTTCTGCCACATCACACCACGCTCTCTCTCCAGGATTCCTTGGAGGAAACAATGTCAAGAAAACCTTCTGGTTTCCTGCTTCTTTGTGCCAAACGGAGCTGAGCAGCGGGGACCAGGGCCTGGTCAGGCAGACAGCAGATGTGAGTGGACAAAGAAGTTGCTTCCCTGTGAGGAACAGTGTCTACCCAAAAGGCTGGACTGTCATGGAAATGTTTTCAGATGTCAGCTTTTGAAAGCAAGGAGCTAGATCCTGGGCTTTACCTCAGCTTTTGAGGAAGGCTATCATTTACCCTGAATGCTTGTAAAATCCCCAATTCTGGTGATCTGCTGTCAGACGGGTCTGACTTCTGGAAGGGTCTGATTTCTGGAACCTTTCCTGACAGCCGGGGCTGCTTATTTCTTTAACTCCCCGAGGCATCTCACGCAGTGGAGCCTCTCCAATGTTCTTTTTTCCTACACAGTAGATGAGCTAGAATGGGCTGTCAGTCTGGGCAGACTCCCATCTGGCGCCAGTGAGTGAGCCTGGGCTTTAAGACTAAGCCTTCTAGGCTGACTGAGGGAGGGTCACCCAGCAGAGCCTGAGCTCTCCTTCCTGACTTCAGAGGCTGTGGTTCGATGCCTCACACCTGCTCTTGAACTCTGCAGCTGATTACTGTGACTGATGAAAGAGGGAAGGTGCACCCAGGGGTGGGAGAGCAGTGTGAAACACCAGGGTACATCTCACGGGGCTGGGTTATATCAGTGTTAGCAATCCAACAAGCAAAAAGAATGCAAGCACACACACAAAAAAATCACCCCTTCTTCCCGAAAACAGCGCAGCCTGCATCTCATGTTTTATTGTCCACTGTTGGCCTGGTGTTGTTAGGGGCTGTGGAGCTGACTGTGACTCATGATGACTGTATGAACAACAGACTGGAACTCGGCCCTGGCTGGCACCTTCCTATTTCTGAAAGCAAAAGTGGCCAAGGTTCCTCTAGGAAGTTGATGTTATCTGAGGACAAGATCAAAGGGAGAACCATGGGCAATCTCCTCCCCTGGGGTTTATAGCTTCTGGGGGTTCAGCTATGAGTGCCTCCCGCTTGATAGCAGCGAGCTGGTGATGCTTGACAATGACAAGACCATTCTGGTCTCCAGTGCTCTCAGGCCACCTGACTTCTCCAAGGCCACCTTCCTCCACTTGTGCTGGGTGTGGCTGAAGGAGCTTCCCAGGGGTTGGCCAGGCTGGAAAGGACTCCCAGCCCCATTTACCTGATACATCCAGGTGCTCCAGGTTGGGGCAGAGAGACACCACGTCAAAGACGGCCTCATTGGAGATATTGTAACAGCCTGAGACCTCCAGGCGCCGCAGTTCGGGGCAGCACTGGGCAATGGTGTACAGTCCTCGGTCCGTAAGGCGCCTGCAGCCGCTGACCGTCACGGTTTCCAGCATGAGGCAGACGTTGGGGGTGTCCTGGCACAGCCTGCGGGTCAGCACCTTGAGGGCGCGGTCCACGTGGATGGTCTCGCCCGTCAGGCGGATAGTCCTCCAGAGGCGCGGGTCCCAGGCCAGGTTGTACCAGCGGCGGCACACGCGCGCGCAGCGACACAGCTGGTTGGTGGGCAGGAAGGAGAAGACGTGCACCAGGCAGTGGTCGGGCAGCCGGTCCACGCTCGCCTGCTCCTTCTGCGGCCGGGAGGCCAGGCGGATGAGCGGGTGCGTGAGGCGGGTCGGGGGCGGCGAGTGCACCATGGCCACGGTCTCCCCAGTGATGGACGACGACGAGGTGGACGAGCCCCTTCCATTCTGAAAGCCAGGCAGGGTCGGTGGACATATCAAGGCTGGGCTGGGCGTGCTCAGTGTGCGCATGCTCAGGTCGGAGTCTGGCAAAGACAGAGAAGAAGGGTTACTACAGGCATTAGCAGAGCCCTGCGTGAGAGGAGCTGGGGGCTGCCCAGGGAAGACCTTCATGGGGGCGGGGGTGTGTGTAGCACATTCTTCCCACTGATAGCCATCCACTTACCAGAAATCTAACTGCATTGGGCCAATATACTGGAAAGACTGCTTGAAAGGGCTAATGCGCAAGGTTGCCACTTTAAAGACTAAGGCACCCTATGCAAATGTATGCACCTTTAACCCATTCCAGAAATACTCAGTTTTATATATCCATATATATGTATACATGTATATATGTATATATAAAATATCAACAAATACATGAGATAACAGATTATATATATCTCTACCTCTATCTCTATCTTATCTCTATATAATCTGTTGATACTATGTGCCCTCGAGTCACCTGCAACTCATAGTGACCCTATGTACAACAGTCCTAAATCCTGCTCTGTCCTGTGTCAATCTTATTGTCTCCAAGACACCTAAGCCCATTACTGCAGTGACTGAACCAAACCACCTTATCAGGGGTCTTCCTCTCCTGTGCTGTCCCTCTATCCTCCCAAGCATGATGTCCCTCTCCAAGGACCAACCCTGCCTTGCAACATGTCCAAAGTATGTCAGATGAAGCTTCAGAATCCTTGCCTCCAAGGAGCAGCCTGGTTTAACTCTCTCCAGGACAAACTTGTTTGTTCTCCTAGCAGTCCATGGTATAGTCAGTACTCTTCTCCAACACCACAGCTCAAAGGCATCAATTCTCCTTCTATCATCCCGAATCATTGTCCAACTCTCTGATGCATAACAAGTGATTGCAAAGACCATGGCTATATCCATCTACATCTATCTATCTATCTATCTATCTATCTATCTATCTATCTATCTATCATCTATTTCAAACCCATGGCTGTCAAGGACACTTCCACTCATGGTATCCCACTGCTTCAGAATAGCCTTGTCCTCTGTAGAATTTATGTGTCTGCATCCTTGCAGAAGCAGGGTTGCCAGGCCTTTCTTCTGAGATGCCTATGGACAGATTTTAGCCATCAACCTCTTATTAGCAACCCAGCACTTCACTGTTTGTGTCACCAAGAGACTCCTTTCTCTATACCCAATCCCAAACCCAACTCCTAACTGCCAGGTTGATTCTGATTCAGAGCAACCATATGTTGGGTTAGGAGCCATCAAATCAGCTGCGACTCATAGTCACCCTATAACCAACAGGTCAGAACCTTACCCTATCCCACGACCCCTCTGCAAATCTAGAGTCAGCATGACAAGGATTTCCTTTTACTCAGATTCGCACTCAACCTCCATGGTAGCAGCAGCCAAAAAATCAAGCATACTGCATTAGGCAATTCTGCTGCCAAGGACCTCTTGGAAGTGCTAAAGAGTAAAGATGACACATTGAAGACTAAGGTGCACCTGATTTAAACCATAGTTTTCAATTGCTTGGGTGCATGTGAAAGCTGGATAATGAGTAAGGAAGACTGAAGAATTGGTGCTCCTGAATTCTGGTGCTGCTGGAGGATACTGTATGTACTATGGATAGCCAAGAGGATACACAAAGCTGTCTTGGAAGCAATGCAGCCAAAGTAGTGCTCCTTAGAAGTGAGGATGCAAGATTCACCTCCTAATTAGGGCATTCTATCAGGAGGAGCTGGTTCCCAGGGAAACACCTCATGCTTGATAAAGCAGAGGGTCAGCAAAAAAGGAGGGAGACCCTCAATGAGCTGGATCAACACTGTTGCCATGACAAAGGGCTTGAGGACAGCACAGACTGAAGAAGGTTGAGGATCAGGCGTTTTCAGAGGCCTGCTATTTCAGAAGTGGATGGCCAATCCTTCTTCCTAGTCTGTCTTAATCTGAATGTTCAGATTTAGAGAAGTGTCAGACATACCAGCATTTTATAGAAAAAGTGAAGGGTATCTCCCTTATTGTGGAGTTAACCATTAGTATCAGTGTTGTCCCTGCCTTTGGCACATGTGTCTTTACCCACTTATTTCCCTGCTCCACCATCCACCAGGATACCCATCCACTTCTACCCACTCCCTTCACATCTATCTCCCATTTTCAAGCCCTTGATCTGATAGCTTATATCTGAAGCTTCCTTGGCTTCTGTGATTCCAAATACGTCAGCTGCTGATAGTTTCTTATGTTGTGACCAGTGTCTCTGAAGCTTAGTGGTAATGTTTCCCGAGCGAAGGTGATGTGTCCTGCAGAACTGGCCCGAACGGATCCGCATGCTTGGGAGGGTGGAGGGACAGCGCAGGAGGGGAAGGCCCTCTATGAGGTGGATTGATTCAATGACTGGGGTAATCGGGATGGGAGTGTCAGAGACAGTGTGATTGGCACAGGACAGAGCAGAGTTTAGGGCTGTTGTACATAGGGTTGCTATGAGTCGCAAGTGACTCCATGGCCCATAACAACAATAACAAGGCTTTGCAGACGAGATATCTGTCTCTAGGGGCATTATTCAACTCCATTACTTGTCAACGGAATACAAAAGTGGTCACAAACAACATGTGAGTGAAATGGGCTGGGCTGTTTCAATAAAACTTAGTTTTCAAAGTGGGTCTGGTTGCAGGGACTGATGGAATTCCTGAGCCTACAATCTTTAGCAGTGATGTCAATTTGAGGACTGAGGTGCACCTGATTCAGGGCATGGTTCTTTGCAATCACTTGCTATGCATCTGAGAGCTGGACAATGAGTAAGGATGACAGAATTGTTGTCTTGGAACTGTGGTGTTGGAGAAGAGCACTGAACATCCCATGGACTGCCAACAGATATGTCTCAGAGAGGGTTTGGCCAGAATGCTCCTTGGAGGCAAGGATGACAAAGCACACACATACTTCAGGAACCTTGCCAGGACAGGCACATCATGCTTGGTTGGCTAAAGAGAGGAAGGGCCTCAGTGAGATGGACTGACACAGTGTCTGTGGTAATGGGCTCAAGTGTATCAGAAACAGTGAGGATGGCACAGGACAGGACAGGGCTCAGATCTGTTGTTCAGAGGGTTACTATGAGTAGTGTTCAACAGCATCTAACAACAACAACAACAACAATAACAATATGGTCCTTAATCACCCTGTGAACCTGCACTAACACTTACTCAACTTTTGGTCAAACAACAACTGATTATATCAGAGAGATACTCATTCTTTAGAATACCAACCATACAAGTTCAAAAGCACAGCATTTGTTCAGGGATAGAGTTCAGAAGGCAGGAAGGGGCAGGAAAGAAGGATTAGTGGAATTGAGAACCACAGGGAGGAAGTGGGAATAGTAGGGTTGTTTACACAATGGGGATTGTAATTAATACAATACATCCATTTGTCATAAAATAAAATGTATATGAATGGTTGAATGGAAAACCAACTGGATTTGTAAAATTTCACCCGAACAGTAATTTTTTTTTTGGGGGGGGGGAAGCCAGTTGGAGGTTGCTGACCTCCGACTTACAGTAATGGCAGCTCATCCAAAGGACACCCTTTGAAATATCTTACTCTGTTTTGCAGAGAAACAGACTGATTGACTGCCCTTATTTTGTTTTGAGAAGATTGAGAATTGTGTTTCATTTTCTAATGAAGGGAACGAGAATCAGGAGAAGGGAGGACAGTGAGTGGGTACAGAGAACACGTGCTGTCACCTCCCGCTTCCATCCTTGATAACAGCAGCCTCAAATCTTCTGTCTGACACATCAGATGTTGTTTTTAGTGCTTGACTATCTGGGGCAGTATTTCTTTTTCCTTTTGATTAATAACAGGCCTCTCTTCTTTGCATTTGAATAACATGAGTCATAGTTCCAGGAAGCAAAAAGATTACTTGATGAGGACACGCAAGGTTAAATTTATGAAGGATTAAGAATTCCTTAGGCCACCTCCAGAAGTATGCTTGTCTCGAATGATTCTCTCTCTTTTTCTCTGTATCATACAGTGAGACCTGTGAGAGCTGGAACTTGACAGGACAGCCTTGTTTCTCAAGAGCCTGACACTTTCAGATCCTTCATAGGATGTAGCCTAAACGTTTTTTTCTCTCTACTAGTACAAACTATTTTTGCTTTCCTTTTCTGACAGGGATCCACCTTATACAGGTTCAGGATTTTTGCACGTTTTATTGTATATAAATTTATTATTGTAAATAATAGGAGTTCTGGTGGCATAGTCTGCAGCGAGCTGCCCTGCTAAGAGGTGGTGTCTCTGTGATGGTTAAAATCCACCAGCAGATTTTTTTTTGAAAGATGGGCAGTCTCTTCTTATGCAATTGACAGCCTCTGACAACCTGACAGAAAATCAGCTATGGGTCAATTCTGACACAATGAGAGGGTGGGGAGGTGGGAAAGAGAAAGAGAAAAAGTATACAGTATGTCGTTATTAGGTACTGTCAGTTTCACGCCATAGCAAACTTACAAACTTACATACCAAAGAACGAAACTGCTTTTTCCTGCACCAAATCACTATATTTGAGCTCATATACTCAGTAATCTTTGCCAGCATTAAAATTCAAAGGCATCAGTTCATCTTCTGTCTTCCTTATGCATGGTTGATCTCTCGAATGCAGGTGAAGGGATAGAAGATGCTATCGTTTGAACAGTTACACTTTAGTTTTCAACCTGACCTCTTTGTTCTGAGGAACCATACCTCCTGCCGTCAAGCCAGTCATCTGGAGGACAGAGTGGAAACTGGCCCAGGAGGTTTCCAGGGATGTAAATCTTTATGGAAACGGACGTCCTCATCTTCGTGGTTTATTGCCAAGGTGCTCCAGTGGGTTTTGAGAGATTGTGAATTGCATGGGAGATGAATCATCTTTCTATCTCGGAGCCACTGATGGATTTGAACTGCCAGAAAGATGCCATCTTTGGTTTGGCAGTGCCATTCTCTATGGACTATGCACACAAGAGTTATCCCAAGAAAACAAACAGGTCTGTATTAGAGAGGATGCAACCAAATTTCTCCTTGGAGGCTAGGATTTTGAAGCTCTGCCTCACAC